TGTCATGAATATAGGACAAAATAACTTGTATGTTCAACGAATCTTCTCTTTCCGCGTGTAAGTGATCAATGTTGTAATGTTCAACTATAAAACCCATATATAGGGTGGGACAAGAGTGCGCCCTAGCTTGATTTCTAGAGTTCCTTGATTGCTAGAAATCTGATTGAAAACGTGAGTGAATTTACTTCGTATCAAAGATGGATAGGTAATTAAATTTAGGTATACCTATCCAGAAAATATATTGGGTATCATTTGAAAAGCAAAAATTAAATAGATATTATATCAAATATTCCATAGTATATTTTTTTATAATCAATTAATGTCACTTGAATTTGCTCATTTTCATGAACTATATAGAAGTTACAGGAGTTAACCTCCCTAGTTCTCGTTTCACCTGTTATATTTTCAAAATATATCACCCAGATTGAATTTGATGACTGATGATAAGTGAATAGCAATTACTGGACATCGCCTCAGCAACCAAGTAAATGAACGTCAACAATTAACACTTAAGAGAGACCAGCTCAAAAATATTGTTAGTTGTACAAAATTTACCACTTACCTTATATCACATCGGTTTGTGCTGCAATTATACAAGTTCGCCTCTAACGCGTCACCATGTGCAGTTTACTTTTCTACTTAGGACTTGCATAATTTTTGCTCACTTAAGGGTTCTTACCATGCTAACGCGCTTTGAAAACCTTCACACTAATATTGTTTTTAATACGTAAAAACTTCACAAACGATAAGATTTCCACAAAATTCTTTACTACACTACATGTTTCGCTAACATAGTAACTTCTTCAGGTGAATTACTGGTACAATAAACTAAACTTACATTGACTCGACTATAATATTCATATCCCACTTTCCCAACCTAAAGGATTAAGATACTTGTGGAATGCTTCGATAAACCTTCATTTTCGGAAAGCGGGCACAATATCTACATTTAAATTACCTACTAAGAAAAAAAATTCAACAGCGGTGAATTATTGAGTTCTAGTTAATCGTTAGGTAAAATGTTTGAATTTTTGCGTTTATTGGTTTCTAATGATTCAAAAGTATTGAGTTTTATTCCTTCATTTTCTACGTGTGAAATTTCGAAATTATGATCGAAACTATAGTTTCCTTCTAATATATGGTTCGCGTATATTGAATTTGATCAGAAAATTTATCTTATGTTCATGAATGCGTTGATTAATCGTTCGACCTGTCTGACCAATTTATATATCAGGACAAGATCCACAATTGAGTTGGTATCCCCCTGATTTTTCGAATTCAGAAGTTTTGTCTTTATTATTATTGATGAACCTTCCCAACGTGTTATTTGTTCTATAGGAAACTTTGAAGTCCTGTTTATGTAGAAATGAAGCTAATTCTTCAGTTATTGATCCGAAATGTTTTTGCTGGTGGGATAAAACTCGGCATAAACGTCTTGAATTGCTTTATAGAAATAATATCGTCTAATCTATCAACTCACCGTTGTATCCGTCGTTTATGGAAAATTTTCCATAAACCTTCCCAACTGATATCACTATTTTTAATAATTCAACACACCCTTATCATCATGATATTGCAGCATATGATACACAACTAGTGAATGTCCCTCATTAGGAAGTCAATTCTAATAAATATTTCTAAAAAATTCCGCAATGAAGAAATTCTAAAAATCATAATGAAAATTATAGAATTTCAACCTATTTCGGATCATCAACTGGAAAATCAGCTTTATTTTTACATGAATAGGACTTGAAAGTTGCCTATAGAACAAATAACGCCTTGGGAAAGTTTATCAAAAATAATAAGGAAAAAACTTCTAAATTCGAAAAATCAGGGGTATACAAACTCAATTGTGGATCTTGTCCTGAGATATATATTGGTCAGACAGGTCGAACATTTGATCAAGTTTAGTTTATTGTACCAGTATTTCACCTGAAGATGCTACTGTGTTAGCGAAACATGTATTATTGAGAATTTTGTGGAAATCTTATCGTTTGTGGAGTTTTTACATTTACTACGGATTTCCATCAATTAACGGCCGAGTCAATAAGAAAAACTGTTTGTAATAGGTATACCTTCTATCAAGAGATATCCTAAGGTGAATTTCTAGGAGGGAGTAATTATTTTTGTGATGTTTTTCAAATTTGGTACCTCTTGAGGATGTTATATTCATTTTGCTCTGTGTTTCATCTTTATTGGCTTTAGAGCCGCTTTACAGTTTGAAATGTTTCATGCAATTCATATTTCCGGCCATAATACTATGCAGGCTATTTTACACTGAATCGGAATGACTAGCTGGCATTGTCTTTTTGTTGAAAATTCTTTGTTTTGTTTCCCATCAAGTTATGAGTTGAGTAAAGAAGTATCCATGAAAACAATATAGCATTCAATTTGCCTCTGATGATGCATAAAATAATAAATAATGCATGAAATATCGAAAATATACCAATTCATTACTAGAAAATTAGGTCCAGACCCGTTTCTTGAATGTAACGAAAAATGGCGACAACTATCCAAATTGACACTATTGTCGTAGGCGCGCAATGAGAATTACTGAAATTTTTGGAAAAATTGCTAACTTTAAGGGCTTTTACAATTTCATTTTTGTCGTTAATTTCTTGTTCATGAAACATTGATCTGATTCTGATATGCTGTGGGGGAGAGTAATTTCTTCTCTACCCCCACCCCCATAGGATCGCCTTCTATGAACAATTTTAACAACATTGACAGCTGCATTTTATCACACATCTAATCGTGTGGTTTGGATAGGCTGCAAAAGTGATAAAAAAATACTTTCGAATTTCTATAGGACATTATTTATGAATATTTTTTCTTCCCGCCAATGGCTAATGTTTTATAATGATCATGTCTTTTATATCTTCGATCACGTCACAATCCTACGCTACACTTCTCTATAAGATTAATATTCAAGAAACACTTGTGGAACTTCGTTTGTGTGTTTGGAACCAAGCTGAATTTATTATTTATGATCGTCTATTATTGTTATCTTCATCATGTCGAAAGCTTTCGACACGCGGATTTGCATCCGCAGTAAGAACGTGACAGGGATTTCTGTTGATGAAAGCCGTCGAGAAATTACATGTATACTTTTCATTATTTTTTTCAATATTAACTTTAAAACACAACATTATGTAAGCTATCTTCTATTTTCGACATGGTTTTGTTTCGAATCTAACTTCAATAAGAGTAGAGGGCTTTAGCCATTTCCAAATCTCCCCCCAAGGCCAGAGGAGTGTGACCTTGGGGGGAGTGACCTTGGGGGGAGTTACCTTGGGGGGTGGCCTTGGAGGAGTGACATTCGGAGCGACCTTGGGAGTGACCTTGGGAGTGACCTTGGGAGTGACCTTGGGAGTGACCTTGGGAGTGACCTTGGGAGTGACCTTGGGAGGGATACGGAGGTTTCATCTCGGACAATTGTCGTGGTGACCTTGGGGGGAGTAATTTTCGTGCGCATTTGTACCTCTTCTCAAGGATGTTTGGTGGTGTAGTGGGGTATTCCATGTCCGAGTTTCTATAAATACAGAATCCCCATCTTCAAGTGCATAGTTATTCCGAAAATACTGCTGGCTGAACAATCTTGTCAGATCAGTGGAAGTGCGATAAAGTGTGATATCAGATTTACGTAAGTTCAATTATTTATATATTTTTTATTCCTTCTTTCACTCGACAAGTAAAAATAGAAATGGCTCCTCCTAAAATTGATCTAGTCGCAATCAATAGTCGAATTAATGAGGAAAATGAAATTATTAAACAAATTCTAATATCGTCGCTACCACTGAATAAGAGTTTTATAATCAGGAAAATATCGTTATGTGGGACTCGATTCGGTAGAAGTGGCACCGTTATATTGTACGATGAAGAAACTGAGGTGAGCTTAAAATGTTGGTTACCAAAAAGAGTTGTAGACCTTTTGAAAGAAAGCGATGTTGATGAGATAAATTTTTCTAACGGCGTTTATACTTTAACGTACTTGGGTCAGAGTGAACCTTCATTTGCAGGTGCAAAGACGCGGGCTCTCATCAAGTTTGATGTCAAGGGGGGTGTAATTGACAAATAGTTTCATATTTCCTCAATTAGTTTTTCGATATAGTGTAGTGAAAAAGGTTTAAAAATTATATAATAATTCTTACATTAACATCATCACTTTATCGCTAATCATCATTGATTTCGATACTTTTTTTGGTGAGTGTTATATTGGCTACATACATTGGAATCAAGCATTACATTTTTTCCACCGTGATCCATTACCTGAATGTTTTGTTTATTTACAGAATTGATCACTCTTGTGCAGCACACGTTCCCGAAATGTGTATGAATTATTCTAGTCAGTTTTGGCCTACGGCGGAAGATATCAGATCAGCTGTGAGGAGGTTGAAATGTCGATTCATGGATTTGGAGCGTGATACACTACATGCAGGGAATTATGATATGAGTGTATGCTTCGATCAAGTACAAGTTCAGCGCCTCCTCAAACAAGCTGAAAAATATAAAATTGGATTTCTACTATGTGCCCGCTATGAATACAGCAACATTACTTTGGAGCAATTCCTTGAAGCAATGGTTGAAGAAGACTTGGAACAATTTCTTTATGAAATCTTCGATTTGCTACCAAACAGCCTGATTCGGAAATACCACTTGGGGGTGATTCCAGACACTGAAGATGAAGGAGGACAAAGGGGGTGAATTGGGCATCTATATAGCATTTTCGCGTAATGTGTAATGCCGATAATATTTTGATGTAAAAATAAAACAATAGTTTTTAGTACATTTGTATTTTATTGATTACAATGAATAACAATATCGAGTAGATTGAGTAATGATAAATTTCATGAAGAGAGATCTAATAACTAATGTGATGACGGTGGCGGTGTCAGTGAGGAGTGGATCCGCATCTATCGTATTCAAGGAGCACCCATCTGTATGGAACCATCTAATGCGCTATATGTCAGATATGCGTCATGAAGAATAAGTGCGTAAACCTTTGTGTTTGGTGGAAACTTCGTTTCGCGGGTTTCAAACTCCAATTTGATGTCGACAGTAGAAGTTTTCATCGCATCGGGTTGGTGGTAGCAGTCGATGATGAATAACGGATTTTTTCGGAACTCCTCAATACTCATCATTGGTTCACCCATATCTTTGCCATAGTAACTACGTTGGAAATTTTCGTATGCATAGTAAGCCACAGCATCTAACTTTCTGTCAAAATCCAAATTCCAGCGCTCATATGGGTAAACTTCTGAATTCAAATAAAGGCGAATATTATTCACTCCTGCGTGAATGAATTTCGTAGCGTCCTTGGATCTATCATCTGTATTATCGGAGCTTTGAAAACCGATAATGATGTATCTCGGGCGCTCGAGGCTACTAGTTGTTTTGATAGCCCAAATATCTGAAGCTGTTTCACGAATGGCCGGTAACTCATACAAATCCCACATCCTGTATGCTAACTTGATTTTTGCTGTAGAACTTTTATTCAATCGATTCAACAACTTCAATTTCTGCCTATCGGACGGCATCACATGCCTTATCTTCCATTCGATTTTGTTGATCGTCACATTCGCATCAACTTCCCCCATATAGGAGTTTTTGAATGAGCGTGCTATGATGAGTATAAGCTCCTGCTTTATATTCAGAATTCCTTTATTATAGTCCTCTGCAAACCCCATTAAAAATTTAAGCGGTAGTTTTCCGCTGAATGTATGACTGGGTGTATCTAGAATCACCTGTTTATTTTCATCGAGACCCCATCCAACCGTGTCTAAAAATTTGGTGCTTGTCTCACCATAAGATATCATACTTTTCATTGTAGTGGTAATGCCCGGTTTTCGAATCAAACACACCTGTTCGCCACCCATTTCATAACGGATTTCATCGAACAGAAATGCGAGCGCATTATTGGACAGATGGCAGGTTTTTGCTAAATCGTTCGGGATGAATTTTCCCTCGATATAAATGTAGCTTTCAGCAATATCCAGTATCAAATCTTGAAAATTGACAGCAATCCTAATTTCATCGGAATTCTTGAATGATGGAGAACCATATGGTTTGTATGTATGCTCATGTAGGCTAATTAGTGAATGATCAAAAATTGGTTCATCAAACACTTCCAATTGTAAACTAGTAGAACTTGTGGCAACCATCGTTCACTTATTTCTGATCCTTCGTCGTTTTACTCTCAACCCAATAGACTTCAAAAAATTTAGGTCGCTCGCAGAAAGCTTATGATGTCTTCCTCGACCGGTGATTTGCCCTTGACTGAATCCTTTCCCACGTTTACACTTCTTCTTATTGGTAATGTGCAGAATAGTGGGGTGAGTAGCGAGCGATACACGTTTTGATTGGTTTCCAAAGCAGAAGCCCATCTTCCAAATCGACGTAGAAAATTTAATTTAGCTGTTTCAATTCCAACTTCACTATAATCTTCTCTCCTCGGAAGTCGACTAAATGATCGTTATCATCCAAAATTCTCAGTGTGATGTTGTCGATAGACTGACGCCCTGTCGGACTGATTGGTAGATATATTATATTTTTCGGCTCCTTTGAAAGTTTGTATCCTGGCTCCACGTCGACGTCGAACTCGTAAAGCGTGTGAACCTCCTCACCATTGAGGTATGCTCCAGTGGTGATATTACAATCAACCCGTATCAATCGTACCTTTATGATGTTCACAGGTAAAGTGGATTCATGCAAAATATTGGGCCGGTAAAATCCCGATTTAAAACCCAACACTTTGGCTATAGAAGTAGCAATATCTAGACTTATCAAGAATTCGGACTTGAGTTCACATTTGAGCGTATTATTGTTGGCACGAAGAGAGAACACATCATCAATATTTCGCCCATTTAGCGGAACCCCTCTTTCTATAGCCTTTTGTATTGCTCTATTGATTTCTTCTATTTCATAGGCGCCTGGTGGTATTTCAACAAGAAAGCTTTCCCCTTCATACCAAACAACTAATTTGTTATTTGTCTCATCTATATTGAGTATAGAGTTGTATGAATAGAACCCGTGTAACCCCAAACCGTAAGTATTCCTCACATCGAGCTCAATTGGTGGAAAAAAGTCTGCACTCAGGATACTACGATCTCCAGAAATGGTAAATGTTTGCGACATAACTTCTCATGAATGGAGAAAACAAACAAAACAGCGAAAACCAAAAACAAACGTCAATATATACAGTAGCAGCGTTAAGAGCATCAACCTTATTGCTGCCTGCAACAATGAAGAATGCCCGGGTTTTCGGTAGGCGAAGAATTAATATCAAATTTATTATTAGTTGCCACATTTACATCTTTCACTTGACAAAAACAACATAATATTTTTCTTGGCGCTGGTCCATCATTCACATCGATGTTGGCATGTTGGCCACCCTCCTCCTGCTCTCCACCATAATGTTCTTCACAAAATCGGTATTTGGCTATATCCGGATCGTTTTGTAATTGTTCCGGTAACTTATCCCACACTATAGCTATCTCATGTGATGCCAACCCGATGAGTACTTCTTTCGGCATATCAGCCAACTGTTTCTCACTCATTTCCAGTAAGGAGCGTAATCTTGAAAAAGCCAATAATGCATGTCCCATCCGCTTGATACTCTGCCTATCCATGTTTTGCAACTTTTATTTCACTGATGCCACTGTTAGCTGAGAGAAATTTCAAGCACAGGTGACCACACCAGACTGTGTTGAAATCCTGCTGGCGCTCATAGTTATACTTGATTTTGATGGCTTTAACCGACTTCGATCCTTTCCTTAAATATTCTAACAACTCCTCAGGAGGCGGCAAATCCCCATAGCTATCGTAATATTCAACTATCCCATTTCTCTTCTTATATGCAACCCAATGTGTACCATCACCGCGAATACTATCGAGATTCAGTATTGCTGATTCTATGCGATGTGGGCCAGAGTTGGGTAGATTATCTCTCATGAAAATACCTCGAAAGTGCGGCACCGCCATTTTATCTATATAATGCAATAGATCAATGTCTGTAAGAGCTCTCCGAGGTAACTTGGCTAGTTTTTTGAATGCTGGGGCTTGAGATAAATACCCATCCCTTTCCGATATGGTTTCAAATAGACTCCTCTGCCGACTTTTCCGAGAGCGATCGCCTCCATATGCTTATTGTGACGGTTTGCCTCAGCCAGCTGCTCCTTACTCTCTTTAGCTGAATGAATAGCTCGAGCTATACCGGCACTACCCGCAGCCAGACTCCCCAATGCTGATAAACCGGCAAAAATGGGTATGAGCGGAAGAATTCCGCCAACTTTTGGGATAGGTATGATTCGGGGTGTTTTGATATTTTTTTTCCCGCCAGCCATCTTTACAAATTTTCGAGCAGCGTCGATCGCCATTAGTGATGTTTTAGTCAAGTTTTTGGTGAGTTTTCTCTTATTCCCCATTTGACGTAGTGCTCGGCGAACTTTTTGAACTACACCCGATCCGAAAGCAATTTTTCTACACTTTTTCTTCCCTTTATTCTTCCTCTTCCTTCTCGATACTCGTCGGTTCTTCACTCCATTATTACACCCCATACCAAAGCGCCTCTTTCCCTTCATTATATTGGTAACTAACCAGGATGCACTCTTCTCTCCTAGATTAGCGTCTTTTGATTTTACTCTCTCCCACGCGGCTTCCTCTAATTTTTTATCTGCTGAATGCCTAGCAGATAAATCGGTTGTATTCTTAAGATACGCAATATCGTGTTCCTTGCAGGCTCTATCCAATTGATTTATTCCAGGATCACCGCGAGCTAACCTTTTTTGTAACTTCGTTCCAGGTCCACAATATTGATAACCACCAGGAATATGCAATTCAAACGGTAATTTATTGATCAGTGTGTTAACAATGCCTCTACCCCTTTTCTTTCCTTTCTTCGTTTTCGATGTGCTACGTTTCACTTTCATAATATAAATGAGCTTCACAACGCTAGCGCTTCTTTATATATCTTTCAACCACCGCACAATGCGGATTGTTCAGCAAAAGGAAACGTTCAGTGTAGCCAATTTTGATGAAAAAATAGGGTTAGGTATTGATACCAATCGTCGACATGGAGCCCTTTTCCCAAATACTATTCGCGGTCTGATAATTGGCCCATCGAATTGCGGGAAAACCAATGTTATGATTTCACTTCTGACCAATGAAAATGGTTTACGTTTTGCCAATATTTATATCTATTCGAAATCACTATACCAACCAAAGTATGAGTACTTGCGAAAAGTGATGGAACCGATTAAAGGATTAGGATTTTACACGTATAATAATAATGTGGACATAGTTGAACCGGCAGATGCGAAACCTGACAGCATTTTCATATTCGATGATGTTATATGTGAAAAACAGGATGTTATCAGATCTTATTTCTCAATGGGGCGTCACAAAAATGTGGATTGTTTCTTCCTGGCACAGAGTTATTCCAAAGTTGGGAAGCAATTATTGCGTGACAATTCGAACTTCATAGTGATGTTCAAACAAGATGACATGAATTTACATCATATTTTTTCCGATCACGTATCGCCAGATGTGACTTTCAAACAATTCCAAGATATGTGCGCGCAGAGTTGGACGGATAGATACGGGTTTCTCGTTATCGATAAGGACAGTGAAATACATGAGGGGCGTTATAGGAAAGGATTCGATAGCTTTATATATCTCTAGTATGTTGGTGCAGCATGATTCATTCAATCTTCAGATACCACAATGGCCGCATCTAGTGAACAGAAAAGCACGATGACTTCTGAGATAAATCTCAAACAGCAACTTGTTGAAGCGACTGCTGCAGTGAGAAAAAAGTTCAAGAGTCTCAAGAACGAACGTATTGATAACCAAACGGCATTGGAGAGAGTGTATGAACCATTGACGAAGCCATTGAATGCTATTTCAGCAGCCGCAGCGAGAAATCAATCTCAAATCACTACTACCACATCCACAACAGGGAAAAACAAGAAACCTTCAACATCAATAATAGCACATCCTACATATCATTCCACACCGGTATCAGAAAATGGGGGAATCGGCACCACTACTACTACCACCAAGATTCCTAGAAAACTCATGACGCGGGAGAGTTTCAGTGGAAATGATTCTTTGACATCGCATAGCCAGCCCAAATTTATAACGGGACTGGAAACACCGCCATCATCATCTTCTTCTCATATTTCCAAGAGTGATGCTGCTACAGCAGTAGACGAAACAATCACAAGCGAGCTACAGGTGCAATTGAAAAAACATATAGATAATTTGGTATCCCATGATCCTAATTATGACACCACATATGGTGTTTATATTGATGAACAAACGGGAAAATTGAAGATGGGCAACATGGACATTCATTTTCCTGCAGGTCAAATTGAATTATGGCGCGGAAATAAGCGAACCAAGGTTTTTCCGGCCACCATTGAGCTATATAAGTTGATTTTTATGAAACATGTGCCAAGATCCATTAACGATCAAGATAAACGTTTATACGCAGCCCTATTGGAGAATACAAGGGCACCATATAGGAACTATGATATTAGGGAAGGGTTAAATGATAGCACACAATCCAAGAAGAAATATCAGCAGGTGATCAAACCACTGATAGGCACACCATATAAAATGAGGAATCAACAATTGCACCATGGTGAAAAAGGAGGAGGAAGTATATTGCAACCAACATTACCCTCTGATAAACTCGCAGGCAAACAGCGAAAAGAGTATGTTTATTGGAATGATATCAAAGAATTGGTGGACCGCCTGCGATTATTGTGGAGTTCTAAAATGGCTGGTCACACCGGTCACGATAATGAGATAATATCGATAATAGAAGAATTGCGTGAAGAAGGTATCGTGTATTAATTGGCGAGTGATTAACCTACATCCCACTTAATTCTGAATGTGCCTATATATAATAACGATACAATACTTGGCCCCTTATTAGTGCATAAAAGGAACTTGGAGCGATCACACCAATTCAGAAAATTCGAGCAGTGGAAAAATAAATAT